TCTCCTCCATTCTCCTCTTGGGATCTTGGGCACGCACGCACACGCGCCCGGCGTGAGTTTTAAGCCACCGGGTCCGGGACACGAACCACAGTCGACTACGTGGGAGTCCAGCGACATAGCCATTACGCTAACTGCTGGTTCCCTAAATTAAGTTTTTAAGAGAGAAAGATGAGTGAGGTTTGGTTATTCCTGAATGCACATTAAAAATTATGATTTGATCATGTAGCAGCCTTGTTTGCTGTGAACCATCCGCCCTGTCTACTTTTTGTTAGATGTGTTGCTGATCTGCAACTTCCTGTTTCCAAGGCTGTGGAAGAGCAGTTGTCTATCATTTGACTAGACTACTTCTCCTAGTCAGCTATTAAAAATACTTCATACAAAAAACTTAAAATTATTCCAAAATAGGTCTGTTTAAATCTCTACTATCTTGGTAATGAAGTTTGAATTCCTTGTTTCTCCACTGAAGTAACATATAACAGGTACAAAGTACCAGACTTGACCCTGAAGGTATGAAAATGAACGGGTATGTCTACTGTCCTTTTAGAGCTGGCATTCTACTTGGGGAAGGAAAGTACATAGGAGATATAAATAAACACATTATTGTTCATTATAAGCAATGAAGGAATTATACAAAGTGTATCATAGGAAATAACAAGGTGAGGTTACTTTAAATATGACAATTAGGAAAGACCTCTCTGATTAGAAGCTGTTCCAGCTGAGATGAGAAGTATGCGCAAAGGCAACCAAGGTGAAGGGCTGACAGCCTGGTACAGAGGAGCAGATACAGACTATGATGTGTGAATAAGTATGTGCCTTGCCTTTCTAGGAAATGACATCAGGCTGATATTATCACTGTTTATGAACGAGTGGAGAGGGGTAGAGACTCATGTAGGATCTTAATGAATTTTGTTTATATGCACAGTGCAGTGAGAAACCATTGGAAGATTTTAGTAAGGAAATTAAATAAAATCATTAAAATTTTAAAAGACCATACTGGTTTCTCAGCACAAAACAAATTGTGGGAGAGCAATGGTGAAAGCTACAAGACAATGAAGGGGCTATCGCAACTGACAGACAAGAAAGGTTGTTGAGTAGGATGAGGGTGGTGACAGTAGAAACAGTGCTTTGAACTAAATCATGCCTCCATTCATATTTAAAGCTCTAGCAGCCCACGTTTAAAGATAGGGCCTAAAAGGAGATCATAAAAATGAACAAGGATCAGCCCCACAGTGCAGCAGTTAAGTGCTGTGCAGAGAGAGCCAGATCCCTTATGGCTGACCGTAATTGGAATCCCAGCTCTGGAAGCTTGAAAAATATACCAGGCATGTGTGCATCCATGCACAAAATCCTGACAGGATCAAGAAGTAGAGGAAAAAGGATTGCAACATGACCACACCCTGTTGAGTGGTGCTTTTTTTCCCTCTCTGTCTCTCTGGTGAGCTCACTTATATTCTGGTCATTAAAAAATACTCATCATCATGGCATCATAAGAGTGGGAACTTAATCTGATAGGACTGGTGTCCTTATAAGAGACACCAGAGCTGTTGCTCCTTCATGTGAGGACACGGTAAAAAAGTGGCCACTTACAAGCCATGTAGAACACTTTCATCAGAAACTGGCCATGATGTCACCTTGATAGTGGATTCCCAGCCTTCAGTACTGTGAGGAATAGATTCCTTCTGTTTCAGCCTCCCAGAATACGGAGTTTGTTATAGCAGCCAGAAAGACTAAGACAGAGGGATATGTAAAAAAATTTTATTACAGGGAACCAGCAGTTGGCATAATGGCTATGTCGCTGGACTCCCACGTAGTCAACCGTGGTTCGCGTCCCGGACCCAGTGGCTTAAATCTCACGCCAGGCGCGTGTGCATGCGTGCCCAAGATCCCGAGAGGAGAATGGAGGAGAAGGGATTGCGGCGTGACCATCCTCCCTGGGGGGTGATTTCTCGCTTTCTGTCTCTCTGTCTCTCTCTGTCTGTCTGGCGAGTGCATGCGCCATATAGCAGAAACCTCTCAAAAAAAAAGAAAAAATTCTATTACAGATAGTGCTACCAAGCATTGTTCATGGATGGCACATCAGTGATGAAAGGAGTGAAATTGGTCATTTCTAGTTCTGTTTTGCATAGTTTATTTATTGTTTTTGGCTTGACTGCATGGATAAATGGTGATACTATTGTGACTATACAAATAAACATAAACCAAAGGTAAAGGAGACCTGGCTGGCAGAATAGAGATGAATCAAGAATCCTTCTTTATGAGGACCAGCAGTTAGCTTATTGGCTATGTCGCTAGATTCCTATGTAGTCGACCGTGATTCAAGTACCAGACCCAGTGGCTTAAACTCATGCTGGGCGTGTGTGTGTGTGCATGCCCAAGATTCCGAGAGGAGAAAGAAAAAGAAGGAATTGCAACATGGCCATTCCCCCTGGGGGGTGATTTCTCGCTTTCTGTCTCTGTCTCTCTCTGTCTTTCTGGTGAGCTCACACGCCCTATAGCAAAAACCTCTCAAAAAAAAAAAAAAATGCTTCTTTACACCTGTCTGTGTGGATGTCTCTGAGACCTGCAAAAGTATCAAGTGGATGTTTAAATAAATGGGTCTGGATCCCAGAGGAGAGGCCAGGGCTAAGATGTAAGTGCTAAGGTTGTCAGCATATGGGTCATACGTACAAGAATAGGAACAAATGAGATGACACAGACAATATGTAAAGAGAGATGAAGACCAGCATTCACATGGAAATTTAGAGAGAAATGGATAAGCAGGGAAATGAGAAGAGGAAAAGCCAGGAAATAGCCAGAGAGTCCAAGAAGGAAGATTACTCTTTGATAAATGCATCAAGGGAAGAGTTTGTGAATTTCACTACACTTGTTTTCAGAAAGCTGCAGAAATAAACACCATTTTACAACGGTACAAAAACAAATAAATATTGAGGAATAGAGTCAACATGTACCTATTCAGTGTATTTCATGTTATTTAACATTGAAAGGTAGCAAATGTGAGATACGGTAGATGTGGATATGGACCAAATTATTTTTTTGTTGTTGTTGAGTTTATGCTTCTATTTGCTCATGTACTTTTTAAGGTTTTAAAAGATATTTTGGAACATATAATCTAGTATAATCTAGTAATAAGTCAAAAGATTAAAGTTTCAGGAGAAAAGAAAAAGGATGACGAAATTAGCAACATCCTTAAGTAATATATAAGCGGTCTGATGTAGGCAGACATATAAATATTGATTTGTCTCTGATAGGAAGAACAACTTCCTCCATTTTAACAGGAAGGGAGAATGTAAAAATGTGTGTAATTACAAGATGGCTTATGGATTTTATGCTAGCAAGATGAGGAAGTTACCAATCAATTGAATGCTGTATTTAAGAATGAGCTGCCCTGTCTTTTGAGGAGAATGGTGATTTCCATTTTTCTTTTAGATTGCTCAATATTTCACTGTTTGATTGGAACTGCTTTTTTTTTTTTTGCCAATATTACATTGTTTAAACAATTAGGAAATGAGAATGAAAAAAATATATATGAAATACACAAACCATTGTGGATAGATGTAACTTTTTATATATCATTTTCATCTTTCAATGATAAATACTTGTTTCTTTTACTGCTACTCAAACCCAAGAGGGGCCTTCTTATAAGTTATGTATGTATTATTTGAGGGGTCCATTGGAGAAAAATCTTCTAATTTTTTTCAAAAAATTCAATTTTCCTTAAATCAGATCTATCAAAATAATCATGTTAGAAGTATAAAAATCAAGTATAAAAATCATGTTAGAAGTATAAAAATCAAATTCCATTTGACAATAACTTTTACTTTTATTAATAAGCATATGCCCATAGCAATATGTAATAAATATATATGATTGTATATGATTGTGTGGGTAGTACTTTATATGTGTGTATGTATGTTATTACTATTACCAGTGGCTATAAAATGTAATTTTATATAAATAATTATTTTGTGGATACTTTATGTAATGAAGTATCTAGCCTCAACTGCACAGTAAATCCTAGAATAAAGAGAAATATAAAGTATGTCTTCTAAATATTCATAGTTGCAAAGGAGAAATAGTGAAGTTAACAACTGCTGATAATACAGTATAGACCATTCACCAGTAAAAGCATATTTAAATTACTAACGGAACACAATACTAAATCTCCCCACAGGTCTTAAAAGAAACCATCTTGAAGTTGGGTTTTAAAACATGTAGACATGTTGAGCATCCTAGCACTTTTTGTTTTTTAAGGTTTTTGCCATAGGGTACATGTGCTCATTGGAGAGCAACAGAGAGAGACAATGAGAGAGAAAGTAAGAAACCACCCACTGAGAGTATGGCCATACCTCAATCCCTTTTTTATTCTCCTAGAATTTGGGGCATGCATGCATGTGCACCCAGCAATCAAGCTGTCAGGTCTGGCATTTGACTGTGGTCTGCTGTGTAGGAGTCCAGCACTTCAACCACTACACCACCTGCTGGCCCTGCATCCTAGCACATTTTAATACGGATAGTCATATATCCAAAAGACCTCAAAAAGCAAAGGATGTGAACTACCAATGAATGGTCATTTAAAACTCCAGATGGAGGGCATATGGTAGACTCATTTTTCTGCAAATCAAAGTTAGTTTTTGGCAAGATATGTAACATGTACAAATCCATTCATTCATTCATTCATAGCAGATTTTGAATACCAAATGTCTTTTAAACAGGAATTACGTTTAGTACTAAAAATGGGAAATTTGGTTGCTGGTTGGGAAATAAAAATAATTACATCTTACATCTATGATTTCAATTCTGCAAGTATTTAAATAGATCAAGATCTTCCAAATTACTATTCTTTGCCTAAAATAAGTAGACTAGTTGTAAATTTTCTATCTATTCCATGTTTGCTTGCAGCATAGACGGTCTGGGGATTTGACCTAAGCTTTAGTTGCTTCTTATACATTATTAGGTTATTATTTACAGTGATCGTTTCACAATGATTCTCTTTTTCCCAGATTTGGCAGTGTGGAGGTTCGCTGGAGATTGTGACTTGTTCCCACGTTGGTCACGTCTTTCGGAAGGCAACTCCATACACATTCCCTGGTGGTACCGGTCATGTCATTAACAAGAACAACAGGAGACTGGCAGAAGTGTGGATGGATGAATTTAAAGATTTCTTCTATATCATATCCCCAGGTACACAGTTCTCACACTTTTTTCTTCCTTTCCAGGTGAAAATACAATGTTAAACATGTTGAATATGTGTTTCATTATTACTGTTATTCTACCAGTTCACATAAAATGTTATTATCATAATACTACAGAAAATCACAAATGAGAAAGTTTACAACAAAGTCAGTTCTTACCTAAAATGAGGAAGGCTATATCTCGAATGGCTAATATTCCTTTTCTTTTTTCCTTTTTTGGTCCTCGACTCAATAATTATACTAGAGAAACAGCAAAAAGTACATGGAGAACTAAATTTAATATTTATCAGTTCAATTAAGAAACTATGTTTGAACAAGATTGTTTTATGCTGCCTTATTATGTTTAACATTTGAGTAAGAAAAAATTAACTGGCTTCACAGAGAAAACAGGCGGAAAACTATGAAGATATTAACACATATATTTTGAAGAATACTTAGTGACATGGCAAATCATTAATACACTTGAGCCTTGTAGAATAATATAAAACTATAAAATATTATTCTACTTTAGTTATAGGGAAATATTTGTATAGAAATAGAAGTAAATGTATGCTATTGCTAGTAGTGGAATTATGAGTAATTTTATTCTTTTTATTCAAATTTCTATGTATTTTCTGACCTTTCTTAATATTCACACAGTATTCTTCTTTTAAAAAGTCTAATACATGGAAAAAAAATACTGAATTGTGAGAGAATCCCATTACTGGGTGGTGGATTATTAGTGATTTTATTCTTTACAATTTTCCAAATTTCTCCATTAGACACATTACTTTTTTTTTTTTTGAAAAGCTATTAAACCAATTTTTAAAAGGAAAAAAAAATATCAAGAGGAAAGAGGAAAACACAGGGTTGCCTTTAAGATCTCAGTGTAGGCAAGAAGACCAAAGCATAAATTAATTTAATAGAAATTCAACTAAAATACTTCAAAGTGCTCTTTTTTTGATAGTTCATATGTGGGTTGTGTGGTCATTGGTGTCATTATATGTAACCTGCAAGAATAGCAACAAAAACCCATATCTACATTCTCCTTTGTGCAACATAGTATATTTCATGCCTGAGAGAAGTTAGTTTGCATTCTAACTGATATGCCCTTATTTTGAAAGCATGTTTAAGGCACGTTCAACTCTTCTTGTATAAAAGTATGAAAGTAAGAGAGAGCAGTATGAATTTTCTTATTAAGATCCAGCATTTCATATAAAGAAGAAAAATAAGGGGATTGTATTTGTAAATGTGTGATTCAGAAAAGGACTTTTTCATACATTTTCCCTCATCTATATGTCGAAAAGCTATGGCTAGGAACACTATTTCATGCATGCACATATTTCTCTTTACAGTAGAGAAACTCAGTCCTGATGTTCAGAGTTGTGTTCAGCTAGAACACAGGAAATTTGCAGCAAGCAGTGACATTTATATAACCTTTTCATTTTCTTTTGGCGTACTTTTTTTTAATAATTTTTTTCAATTCCAATCATTACTTGAAGAAATATATGAGCTCCAGTACGAATAAAGGAGTACTGGAAGAAAGAAGTGAGTGTGGCTACATGGAGGTACTTACTATTCAGGAATATGAGTAATGGAGAATCGTTGCAACCACGTATCTTGTATTTATCCATGGTGAATATTTATGAAAAGTGAGATGTTAGTTGTATGATTTTCCATTGAGTGAAAAAGGCAGATAAATAGTAGAACCATTTCTTAAACTGTAATGAAATGACAAGCTTAAGAGTTTAAAGGATGAAAAAGAACTCCTGCTACCTGGAACTAATGGCCTTATGTTGCTCAGCAGGGACTGTTTCTAATCCTGGAAAGTGTGGTTTTTACATTAAAATAAATATCATTTAGAAGGTTATTGTTCTTATGAAATGAGCTCATTTATATCCAGAAACTACTTTGGAAAGCAGAAAAGAGACATTTGGGGAATATACTGAAAATATCTAGGAACTTTCTAAGGGGCATTTATGCTTATGAATGTCTTAGATACAGCAATGCTGAACATGGTGAAATCTGCCTGCTGTAGTGTGAGCAAAGCAGGAACAAAAACATGGGACAATAGTTGTTTCTTAGTAGAAAAGAATGAAAGTAGGCCTGAAACTAGTGCTGAATGACAAAAAGCATTTCTAGACCTCAGCAGGTTTTAGATCATCCAAAGTCAAATAAAGTGGATTGTAGTCAGGAAGTCAAAAGTCTGTCATTTATATGACAAAAATTTTAACCTTAATGGGTTTAGGTGGTTTCTGTAACTTAAAATCAGATTTCTTTGCTATCCTAGCACTGTTGAATGTCTATCATCTCCTTGGCAAATTCGTGAGTTTATAAAGAGAGAAGTTGGTGTGTGCTGGGGGTAGGGTGAGAGGTACGTGCATTCACATCCACACTTAAGATTTATATCCTTTAACCCATATACACACGGACCACTTGAATACTTAAGAGGAACTCTGGAAAGTTTTTAAAAGTTTATATTGAGTTCTCCAGAACCTCCTGAACATCAGAGATAATAAAAGTGTGATACCTCTTGGTATCTGTTTGCTTTTCCAACGTGTTTTGCAAAGAGATTTCCACATGACTTCTTTTAACAAATTTTATTCTTCACATATGCAATTGTTCAGAAGTCGGTCTTTAAGTACTGGCCTTTATGAATTGAACTCCTGTCAACAACTTTGATTCCTTCCAGTATACTCTCTATAAAAAAAATTACCTACTTATGTTATTGGTTGGGTTCAGGGATGTTTCCTCTCTATCCATCTTAGATTGTCTGTGTATTCTTCTCCCTAGTCTGTGTATTCACTGAGCTTTGATCTCATGGCCAGCCCACGATTACCACTTCCTATATAGTTCTAATTTTTAATACTTGTCTCTATATCCAAAGTAGTTCAGAGACTGGTAGTTCCAGTAGCAACTTTCCTGTCATTTTGTAGCCTACAAAAAAATGTATTTCTTAAATACTTAGGATGTATAAATTAAAAAGTGAATGCATTTTAAAAGTGAGACTCTTCAAATTCTTCATTTCTACTGAATTCATCATAGATGTGTGGCTAATACCAACCAATCTTTCCCCAAGGATTGATGCAAATGGGAAGCCTTTGTCCCACCTCCCTGATCCAGCCCCTAGTTAAGGATCCACCGTTAAAAAGAGAAGTGAATGATACTCTTCGTATATCTGGAATAAAGTCTTCTGAGTTCACCATCTGGAAAAATGTTCCATTAGCTTATCTGTTTGCTTTGGGATTTACGATTCTACCATAATCATAGGTGCACACTGTAATATAATCTTACCCTCCAGGGCTAATGCATAAAGTCATACAGGCACAATTAAGTCAGACATGAAATCGTCTGATATAGCAGCGTATTACAAGAGCTCACAAACTTAAAATAAGGTTACTTTGATACCTCTTGATGCTTATTTTTCTCATGATCCTCAATTAATTTAAAGTTCAAAATGGAATGTATGGGGAGCAGCAGGTGACATGGTGGTTAAGACACTGGGTTTCCACGTGGCCAACAAGGGTTCAAGTCCTAGGTCCAGTGGCTTTATCTCTCTTTCTGCTTTGAGCACAAATGTCATATAACAAATTAAAAATAATAGTAAATAAAATTTTTAATAAATAATTCTTTTAAAAAGAGGGATATATAAATATCTACTTGCGTGAATTATTTTACCTGAATCTTTTGCTATATTTACTGTGTAACTTAATTCTCTTGTCCTATGCCATTAACCACATAACAATATTACATAGTTGGCAGTGCTTACCTGTGTCCTAAAGTGATATATAAATGAAGAATAGAAATGTTTGGGGCCAGGCAGCCACACAGCGGTAAAACACAACATTCTGCAAGGCCATCTGCATTGGGAAGGTTACTGGTTCAAATCCAGAGACCTTCCTGAGTGTCCTCCTTGGACATGAGTATGCCCAGAATCCACGGCTAGGAGGATTAGGAGTGGATTTCACATTGGAAACCTGTTGGGAGCGTGCACTCTCTCTCTGCCACTCTCTCTGCATCTCTCTCTTCCATTCACTCTGCCTCTCTCCTTCATGGAAGAAATAAATGAATAGACTTTTTTTTTTTTTTTTTTTTTTTTTAAAAAAAAAGGACCATAAATACTGTGAAATAGTGTTTAGATTTTCAACGTTCATTTAGTTTGCTTTCTATCTTCTTAAGGAAGCAACTACTATAGCATCATTGATTTTTAAAACCCTGTGGACTCCTAAAGCCTGAAGCAGTTTTTACTAGTAATTGGTCTGTTTCAGCTTTAGCCAAGTTGATTGTCCTAGCAAATTTTGTGAAATGAAATGATGTAAGCAAAACCACTTTTCACCAAACACCCCATTATAGATGGAAACCTGTTTTTTTTTTTTCCTGTTGATCACAGGTAAGAAAGCTTATGAACTTAAAATATAGTCATAATACTAGTCATATATTTGAAATGCTAGCTGTTCTCTAAATATTGATTTTCTTTCCTTGGGGAGATAGATTTCTAACTGTGTATCAATAGACAAGGTGATTAGAAACATGTATCCCTCTATAAACCCCATCCTTTTCTGAATGGATAGCTTGTGATCTTGTTTTGAGCAGAAACAAATGGAAAATAAAATCTAAAGACCTCCAAAACATGCCCTTCAAAGTAGTTGTAAGTGTCTGGGAAAACAGCTTATTTTCTTTTGGTATGGTTTGATCTGTATTCCAGGTAAATACAAAACACACTTTCAGAGGAGAATTCTTTAATTTATTTTGAAGGTTAACTCCCTATTTGTTTATTAATCTTTTAAAAATGCTTTAGAAATACCAGCATATCAAGGGCAGCCTTTGTTAGCAATGTCTTTTGATCATTATTAAAGTTTAAGGCCTATTATTACTTTTATCCCTTGGAATTTGTGTCTGTGAAATAGAATTTTTTAATCATGCTGATTTTTAAAAAGATATACAATATTTAATAACCAGCCTGAATGTAGGGCCTAATTTCTCTCAAAAACATGAAAATGTGATTTTAGC